TTGTAAGCGACATTGAAGAATTAAAGAGGATAGGATACGCCTGCAAAGCGAATAATGTTATAATCATAGTCATAAAGACAATGAATATTATCGCATCTTTAGGGAAAACATTAAATATCAATTCAATGATATTGTTCAATATAAAGTGTATGACACACTATCATTTTCGGCTTAGATAGTTTTTGTATTTCTGATATAATTTGCAAAATCGCTCCTCATGCTTATTCGCTTAGAGATTCACGATGCACTGATAAAAAATCACTCGTTAATTGGGATCAAGACGTAACCCCTTGAGTACGCGGACATATAGGGACACGGGTACAGTAGTTATACCAGTATCCCACAGGTACCTTAGGTGTACTCGTACACGCGAACAACATGTATACACAAATACGCGCTAGTACATACACAAACGCACACACGTTCAGTAACTCTGCGCCGCGAGAAATAACAAACGGCGTGCGAGCCTAATTAATTACTTGTCTGCTAATTACTGTAATTATATGTTGCCACACCCACCCGAACCTTCTTGATTGTTTTCACCCTTCCAACGAGCTCTCTTAATCTAGACGGAAAGAGTTTCATGACGAGATGGCAGATTTATTTTTGATGCCTCATGATAATTATATTAAAGTTATATTCGTGACGTCACACATATCTGGTCATTCTTCCAACGTTTTCCTTTTTTCTTTCGCTTTCAATTTTTATTTACGCGCCAATTTGTAGAAGAAACCCCAGATTTATCGTTGTCGCAGCTTTTCGTCGCAGACAACGATAATTATTGTGCGGCATACCGCCGTGGTGGCACACCTCGGTACGTCCGAATAGACGAGACCAAAACAATGACGTCGGTCGGCGGAGCCGTTGATAGTCGGTTGGTTTTCGCGGGATTCGCTAAATTACCTCGTCGCATACTGCGGATGGCAAGAAATATGACAGCGGACTGGAACAGATGATTGGAATAAAGAATCGAGGACAATCAAGCCCGAACGACAGATGGCGTTTGCAAAAACTTATCTTGTCTTCAAGATTACGAGAGAAACGCAATGCATTTCTTGTCTTGCGGTTCAATGAGAAGCGCCGATCTCCGAAGATAAGAGGAAAAGAGCATCGTGAAGAAACATGGCGAGTTTCTGCTTAATAGTTCCCGATTAATTTTCGCTGACGAATTATAAAGACTCAGTTGTCGTACAATCATTGAGTATTAGATAAGGCATTCGAGTTACAACAGGAAGACTTTCAATCGAAAAAACGATAATGCACGCGAGTGAGCGAAAACCGCGTCTCGAAAGTGTAATCTGTTCTCCGTAAAAGTAATCTTATCGCCACACAGCACGCTGTGTTCCTATCTAGAATTGACGTTGTCATATGCAAATGGTGTTATACCCTTCCTTAATGCGGAGGAACATGTTTTCTTCAGTTTCGTAGATATTCGTCACGATGCGACGTGCGAACAAACGGGTAATGCGCGTCACATGGCCGTGTGCCACGTGTTATGGATGTGTACGAGCGAGTCCTCGAAGACCAGTCCTGGAGACAGTGTGGCACGCGGAGTGGTATGCTAGCGGTATTAAACTCTCGGTGGCGTGTATGATTGGGCTGGCAGATGTCACTCGTTATGTAAATGTCCGAGTGTTTACGAGAAGACACCTCCAGTAACTAGCACTCCACTCGTGGTTATAATGATGCGCTAGAAATATCTCTTCCTCTTCTTCTTCATTTTCTATTTTGCATCCAGTGGTGAGAGACCCACTGGTATTCCTCATCAAGACGATCGCATCAGCAGCCTTGGTTCACATGAGAAACATCGAAACACTTTGGTGTATCTTAATTGGCACAGTTTGTCGCTTATTAGTACGGGATAAGTGATTTAGGAGAGTACATAATTGTTTGATATCGATTTTCCCGCTAAATTAGTCGGTGATAGCCGTGGCTTTCAATTATGCGCGACAATGTATGCGATACTCGAGAAGACATTATAAGCAAGCTTGCTTTTCGTTCTCGTTGGAATATTTCAATTTATATACTCGCTTTTAAATATACAGAGATTCTTTTGTTTTTTTTATTCATACTTATTCATTGCACTGAAAGGACTGGTATGAGACTGGTATCGGAGCATGCGTATTCATTATATCATGATATGTTTCTTACGATTCATGAAGCCACTTCTCAGATATTTCTGATATTATCAACGTAATTTCAAGTTTTCCTATTACATTGGAAGTTAATTCACAAATTTGACTTTCATGTTACACTAATGTAATTATATTTATTGACAAATAATCAATTGGATCACAGAATCAATTTTTAATACATTATTAAATTGGGATAGATTCGCTGTGATTTAGAAGCTTTGCTAATAATTCGATTCAAAATCGCGAAAATCTACGTAATTCGGAAGGACAAGATAAGATCGTGAATAATATATAAATAATATCGTATAAAGATAGAAGAGCGAATATTTAAATTAACATTATACTAATCTTACATGTTTCTCTCGTCTGATCTTTTCGCGCGCCACCGAACGCGCCTTAACGGCTAATTTACTGTAGAAGCATTAATAAATCTTTCCACGAAATCTCGTTTATCAGGACGAATCTGGTGGTCGGTCACGCCGCTTGTCTCGCTCATAATTAATTAGTATCGGCGCCTAGTCTGTTCTCCGAACATTAGCCGATATAAATGAACGGAGGAAAGTGGTGTGTAGGAGAGACGCATTCGCCTTCTCTCGCGGAGTTTGTTAAGTTGCCGAGATATAATCAGTATCGATCAACTATTCTTCTCTTCATTATAATTACGTCGTGTAATTTTTTCCTTTGAATTAAAATCTTCTCTCGCTCTCACTCTTGACCGCACTTTCAAGGATCATACGTTAATTGCCGCCTGCATTCACTCGTAAAACCGGGCGATCTCCAAGCGTGTTGCCTTGTATTCTTCAGTTGCGACGTGGCAAGGTCGTACGTGAACGGTGCGGCTCCTCGTAATCGTAAGATCGTATCTACATCGTATGACGCAGGCAACGATGATCGTTCCATAGCAAGAAAGTATCTTGATCGCCGACGCACAAGGCTGCACTTTATACCAAAATTTTTTATCGGCCACGGGTGTGCTGCATTGCTCATCCTTCTGTTCGGTAATCACGCTACGATGACAATCGACGAGATTAGGATAATGCTGTTGCCGGCACAAAAATCTTCAATCTTTTTGACACACTTAATATACGTACTGGATGCATCAATTTTTCAAATTAAACGATTAATTATTTGCGGGCGCGTCCAGCGAATAATTTTGAAACCGCGGTAAGGAACTTTAAGTTAATTATAAACAAGTATCAAATGAGACAAATATGAACACGTTTACATAAACGAACGTTGAAACAAATAATTTGCATTTATTTGTAAATACTGTGATAGTTTCGGAAATAAATTTGCACGAGATAGTAAATTAGGCATAGCCTGAGAGCAGTGTTGGAAAGTGCCGAGAGAATACTCACGATATTCTTTCACGTAACCTCAGTGGTATATAAGACCCGAGGACTTTGCGTCTCTAATTGCGTTAGATAGCAATAGCCTTATTAATAACCCTTGCAGAGAAATTCTCGTGATGCAGCGCGATGCGGCGGCGAAGAGATTATCCCGTTCCGACGTGCCGCTTCGCTACGATATCCGGAGACTCGCAGGAAACAAGTCCTGGCATCGCGAAGAAGCAGCCGGGGCCGCGTGAGAGTCGAGAGATAGTGGACACGGCATTTCACTTAATGATAACCCGTCCTCCTTCGTCCACTGCGCCACGAAGATGGAGAGAAAGGATCGCGGACGTCGCATCAGGACGAACCCTCCTTTCTTATTCTTATGCATCTGCTTCTCCGTGCTGCATTATCATCGATTTGATCTCGCCGGCGCCTGAGTCGCGAAGGAACGCATGGTTCTATGTCCATGAAATCTCGTCACTAGTATTCATCGAGAAGTATACGATCGCAAAGGTTCCAGTTGGTCATTATCAAAACTATTCGATATCTAGATTATCTCGAGTCTAAAGTCGAGATTCTGGAAGTCTTGTGAGTTATTGAAAATTGAGTAGAAAATAGAAAATAGAAAAACTTTCTCTTTCCCACGGTCTCACAAGATTTATATCTAGTCCGGCATGAAGATCAAGGCGAGTCTTTCCTTTCTTTTTTATTTCTCTCTCTCTCTCTCTCTCTCTTTCTCTTTCTTTCTGACTCTTGCTCTTTCGCATCGCTACCGCTGTAGATCCTTTCCGTCTGGTCGGCAGGAAAATATAATCGATATAACTCGATACTGGAGGGGGATTTGCATGCGTGTATGAAATCGCTGTGGTATCTCGTTACATGCCGTCATCATTGCGCGTTTATCGTGATGGTACTTCCAAACGCCATGACGAAATGACGAAGACAACGACAAAGACGACGCGCTGGCGAGTTGAAGCGAGTCTCGAAGATCGTCGATGCAACATTGACAAACTAGGTATGCAGATACCTACTGCAAATACACAGAGGATGACGGTTGGCGATCAAAAGTCATGTAATGGTATGGGCCACCATCAAGCGAATAGCTACGGTGTGGGCGTAGCTGTACGCGCCAGACGAAGATAAAAGACAGACTATACAGAGAGGGAGCAAAATCGCACCTTACCTCCCGTCGTCGATTCTTCTGCACTATGAAACCATTATTTTGTCTCGAACGTGATTCAGGGATATGTCACCGTAAGCGTTCGACTTCGTTCTCTTATTAGATTGAATTCGGTTTGAGCTACGTACAACATGCGAGTCTTTAATTTTTTTTCTCGCGATTGTTTTTATTTTTTATATGCAGATGAATGTTAATTAAACTTAAATCTGCAGTTTTAGAATCTTTTAAGAATTATTTTAGAAATATTTATCAAGTTTCTAAAGTTATATGATTATATTTTATATTATTTATATTTTATATTATACTTTTTTATACAATTTTAAGTGCACACATACCGATTTGATTGAATTATCGTGATTTGTATAATTTAAGTATTTTATTTTGTACAGTATAACACTTTGCAATCAGCGCTAATATCTTAACGTATTATGGACGGCTTACAAGAATTCTCTATTAAATGATATAGAGAATTCTTGTATCTCTCTCTCTCTCTCTCTCTCTCTCTCTCTCTCTGTTTTTTCGATATGTTAAAAGCTCCGTATAATTGAATTGCCGCGGTCCTAGACCGTGTGACAAACTAGGTAAGCATTATTATGGACGCAAGGAAACGCGAAACAGAACGGAGGAATTCCTCTCGGAATCATTAGTATAGGAATAGTAGAGTTAGTACAAGTATTCCTGTCCGCATAGCTAAGTGGTCACAGTGGCGGTGAGCGGAATGGCCGGGATTGACATGATGTCTTCCACATCCCGGCTATCTTATACGCGGCACTTACCGGACACGGCAGATAATAACATGGAGAAGAAACTAGTCGTTGCTCCCCCAAGACCTTCCTCTCGGTTGGCTGGCTTTCCCTGCTCCTCAGGCTCCTCCTTCGGTTACTCTCCATATCCTTGGCGCTTCCTGCATAGAGCGAATTCCACGCGTTAAATACGATTAACGCAACGAGGCGCGTGGGGAATGCATGCAAAACCGTGACTCGCGATGCAACCGCGTTAGGCGGATCATTTGACACGTTCGCCAGAGATCCTACGACGGTACGTGATCCGTATTAATTGCGCGGAAATTTGGAGCATGTGGCTAGATTCCGATCTATCGAGTCTGCTCACGTATAATTATTTTCTTACTTATCACAGAACAGTGTTTTTTTCCAAGAACATAAAATGTTTTGTTTTTTAATGCTCCTTTCGCTCACACCGGAAAACGATTTTTCTCGCTAACGAGACATTTTAAAAAAGACCAGATGACGCGACGTGTGCAGATGAGAAATCCTTCGTCTTGCGGGTTTTCGCGGAAAGGACGTTTGTTGCTGCGATCGAAAAGAAACGCTGTGCTCTATGCAACAGGATCTTCCTCGATTACCGAGAATCATTGTATTCTCGATCGTCTTCAGTTCATTTCTTTTTCCATCTTGCAATACAACGTATATTTCTGATGAGAGAATACAATTTCTTGGTAAAATTCGTTGCTTATAAGAACATTGATTTTCTCCCTCCAAATTTCTTAATTCTTATAATCAAAGACAAATGCTGACATCGAAAATGCAATTTCTGTTTACCTAGATTGTAATGCCATTGTAGGGATTGCTTATATCTCGCACAGGGTTACTGGAATCACCGGGCGGGAAACCACGAGACACGGACGAGAGTATGTTGCATATTTTACATTCTGCTGACGTTCGCGCCGGACACAGTTCGTTCTCTCGTACTCTCGGAGTGTCGGCAAAAAGTATGGCGGTTCCGAGGCGAACGGCAGGACCGGGGGCTCCGAGTCGGGTCACAAGTTTTGTACTTTTTTGCACGAAGGCGGCTATGGCTGCGGCTGCGGCGTTGCTCGGTTCGTCCGGTATGCGGACCGGAGCGAACCGAGAGCGGGACATCTTCTGACCCGCGAGTGCCTTCTCTCGTCCTTAATTTGCGATTCCCGCACGCATCTTTGGCCAACACTTGGATGTTCTCCGCTCTTGTTTGGGTTCTACCGCTTTGCTCTTGTGTGGAACAGTTATAACATTATGAATTTTCTCTCAAAAGCAATTTTTAAAATATATTATGATGATTTATGTAAAAAATTTAAAATTTGTTGATTTGCCAATGTTAGTTAATTTAGCGACGCTGGCCATATTTTTTTAACTCACTTTTATTTTGTGTAATAATTCACGCAGTGGATATTTATTTTAAGACAACTGCAACTTCGGCTATTATCATCGATATTAATATAATTTTCCAATAATTTCAAGATAATTTAGGTAAATTGAAATCTGAAATGATATCTGTGCCGTTTTCACCAATACGAGGTTAGCACTCGATAATAATTTTAATTCAAAGAGGCTGCATTTTCATGTTTTCTCCATATTCTTACTTTTTCCGTATTTCTTGTCGAGATTTGTACCAGCATGGTTGCGTTAGGTTCTTCGTTAAATAGATTCTGCCAAAAAGTCACAAAAAATAATTGGAAACGAGGCATGTGTGCTCGCGGAATATTAGTTGGTCCCGATTCGTCTTGTAGTATATTCGAATAATTTATTTAATATAAGACAAAATGTATTCCTACATGCTATGCGTGCCGATGAAGCGACGAGGACATTGGCATGGCTACATCTTCGCGGCCATTGTGCTTCTCATGCTCTAGCGGGGCTCCGAACGTAGGTATCTTCGGATTGTCGTAGGTTCTCAACTTGAATTTCTTACATTATGAAAAATTTGACTTTTATTATAACAAGTTAATTTTTTCCACAAAATATTAATATTAATATTTCGTTTTAATTAAAGCTAATTATCTTGTCATAATGGAAAATATTTTTTAAATAAGAATATAAGATAGAAATATTATCTATCTTAAATATTTAATATTTTCATTTTTCTAAAATGTTCACAATATTGCCGATTACACAAATTCAAGCAGTCTGGCATAGTATCCAACGCTTTTTACCTGCTCTCGATTCAAAGTTCTGCGCAATTTGTCCGACAAACTCTCGATTACTCTTCTGCGTGCTTCTGTGGTTACATAAGCAAAAGATAGTTTTTTGCGTATGCGGTCGCAAAAAATAAATAAAAGAGGAGCTTGTAGCAAGTAAACACAACCTGTATTCGCGTATCCGCATGCAGAGAAATTATGTGCACGCAGGTTTCGAGTGCGTATCGCACCTGCCGCGCGCGAAATGAGCGCGACGTTTGCGATGTCAAAGACCTGCTTTCTTTTCGAGAACCTGACGCCGGACATCCTCGCCGGAACATACTGTTTCGGACTTGATCTGCTATGCATGTTGCAATACATCTCGATTTCGAACAAAGTCGCGTGTTATAATCTTACGCTAGCGTACCATTAGTATCACACGTGTTCCTTATTAATAATACATTAGTGATGTATTAATAAATAATCGATAACGGGAAATCATGATTGTAATTACATGATCGGTATTATCGTATGAATTTTTAATTGATCTACTCCTTCGAAGATTCACAATCTTTTGGAGAACCCCTGTCAAGCCGACATCTGGAGGTGTGCGTGACGCACGTACGTGAGGCATACACTGGCGCGACCAGTTCCGAGGACACTGTCGTCGGCAGCAAAAACACTATTGAGTTAATCAACTAATTTATAATTAAAATTCCACGATGGGAGCCGTTTGGGCCAGCCAATTCTTCGCCAGTCACCAATACGAATTGCAAGAAGCGAACCAGCTCGCTGTCTGCTCCGCGTTGTTTCGCGGTAATCGCTACTAAATTCATAGAACACCAATTAACCGCTCGTCGACACCCTTTCTGTTCTCCTTCGGTTCGCGTCTGTCAGTCTGCCGACTTTGCGCTCGAAAAAAGATCGACCTAGTTTCGTGGCTTGTCCAGTTTCTCATCTTTGAGTAGAAACGCCGTGCGTTTTTGCTCAAACCATCGAAACAGTAACAAAAAAAGAAACAAAATAATTTTTAATAGACGCTTTGTCAAATTTACACGTCAGTGTCGTAATTAGCGATAATTACAGTCGTCAAGAGAAATGAGATGATTGCAAATACTGAATTTGCCACTTATACTTGCGGTTAATAAGTACAGACAGATCTTAAGTTCTCTCCGTTTATCTTTTTAACACTTAAAATATGAAATTCATACAAGATGAAATTATTAAACAAGTGAGATAAAAAATTTGGATGTAACTTTTTCATATTTGAAACTTGTTACGTATACGATAGCAAATAATAGGTATTTATCAATTATGCCTTTCTTGCATATGGCATGATGATGCATATCATATTCGTTATTTTTTTTATGGAAGCCGAGTGTATACCTCCTACTCGTTTGCTAATAACGGTAGGTTTCACGGTAGGGCAATGAGACGACACTGTCACGGACGCTACTTATCGAGTCCTTGTCACTTGACACGCTCCGCCGAACACGATGCTTCGCGTTAATTATCTACGCGTGTTTGTCATGTTCCGCACCTTTCTGCTTATATGCTGCCACCCATATAGAGTGGATTTTTATTCTCGCGATTTTCAAGTCGTCAATCCACCATATGACGTAAACGTCTATTTTTAGATTTCTTGACATTCACGATAACGCCATTAAATCGCATACATTTATTATTTACTGCAATTTCCGCGACAGTCTTAAATTTTTCCTCGCGGTTTAACGCATTCTACTCCTGGCTTAATAATTTAATCGCATTAAAGCCCTACGATTTAAATTATAACCAACTCTCGTCATCTCATCCATTTCTATTCTTTACATGTCATAATGGATATGAATGTTGAAAATCTGCGGAAATCACATGAAAATTCGACAAGTCTGCACAACGGTAGTTTTAATATACTCCCTGTAGAGAACTGTAGCGAGCTATCTTCTTACTATTTAATGAGAGCTGTGCGTCAGCATTAATTATTAACTGATATATCAACTTTCCTGATTATTTATTCACTACTTTCTATCAGAAGTGGTTTCTGCCAAAATAGTTTTGATTACTGAAAAGAAGAATACATATAGCTTTAAACACTTTACATTGTTAAAAATTTATGAACACGTAAACAGAAATTTAAACAAGCGACTTATTGCATTCTAATGGTACATAAAGTGCATCAATTGATCGATTTTCGAAAAGGATATTAAAAAATGAGCGACGTTAATTTAACAAGGCTTAAAAAGAAACTGGAACCTGTGGAAATTCACACCGTCTTTTTGCGAAACTCCTTTTGTGCGACGATCTCGATTTCAGAGAACCCTTCATATGCGATTCACTGGACGATCGCATCCGATCGATATCGCGCATTTTTGCTTGCTCGCGTCTCACGTTGCGGACGAAGGTATGTCTCGTTGAGCGACAAATTGAGCTTACGCGCGTCAGGATTCAAGACGCGATCTCTTGGGTATTATGCATCCGACGCTTTTTCGCGAATACCGTGCGTCGGCCTTTTCTTTCACACGGCATTTCTCAACAAGAAATTAAAAGCTGCCTCGATAGAGATACTACCAAGCGAGATCCGTTCGGCGGATTTACTGTGACGATTATCCCAATTAACAGCGTACACCCTTTCAGTCTCGGCTTGAACTACGAGCTCAAGTGCCACCTGCGGACCAGTTCCCGCGACGCGGTTTTTGAGTCGTACTGCATTCAAGTAAGACGTTAAGTGCATCCCGTACGTTTCCAGAGAACGTTATGGTTGTCTCGCAAATTCCCATTAACGAATTTCGTCCTTCCTCTTCCTTCATCAGCTCTGACTCGTCGCTCTCCAGTATTAAGTATCGAGCAGGTTTTTCTTCCGATCAGCCGTTGCTTCGGTAAAAATTCGGCAGATTCCAAACTGGACTCATCATCGTTGATCATTATCGTCAATATTACTCTCGCTGCTATTGCTTCTATTGAAGAAAAATTTCATATAGAAGCACGAATCTGCAATTTATACTCGCTGGACTACTTGAAGAATTGCGTTATCTCATTTTTCAATTGTTCATTCACGAGTCGTATGCCGATTACTTGGTTTTTTTTTCCGATAAGAATCGTACATTTGAATGAAGCGTTAAACACATTTTTGCAAGTAAGTTCATCATCATTATAAATGTATATTAGGATTTGTTCTGGCTAGCCTTCATCGGCATCAGTTTTGTTTTGGATGGTGTTGCACGTTGGTCGGCTTTTTCTTTCGATCGCTCGCCACGCCGTCGAATTCAGCGGATTCCAAGCTCTATCTTCTGGCCATTGTCACCGTTCGTCCACATTAGCGCAGCGTCAGCGCGGTAGAGGCCGACGAGATTAATTAGGGACGATGTTTTAGCAGCAACAAAAATGGAATGGGAGAGAGGACGAGGCAAGAAGCGGCAGCATCAGCCGTCTTAAGTCGCGCTAACTAATCTGGCAACGCCACGAGACGATCGAATGGACCTCATCACCCCTTTCTGGCCTTCTTCATAAGAACGTGCTACAAATTAAGCCTGGATCGGTAGAAACCATCTCGAAAATTTAGCCGCTGATTGTTGCTCTCTATTCTTCATTGTCGGTATGCTCGCGAATAGGGATGGATAGGAAGTTTTCGTGGCTTGAATTCACAAGGTTAACGTTATTTTGCAATAAATTTAAAGTGACGAATATCTTTAAATGAAGACTTGTAAACTTTTAAATTTTTCTTTGATATTTCTATGATATTGATATCTATTTAATCTGTTTAATTTACCTGTGCAATTTATTTTAATTTCATTTAATCACAATTGTTGAAACAAATTGAAACAAGTCTAATATGACACATGGTCAGTAGTAAACAATTTCATAAATAAAATACAGTAGATAATGCATTTTAATGTTTTGACGAGAGAAACAAAGATATATTTTACATAAAGTTGCTGTTTCATGAAATTTGATTTATTTAATATGTATATGATGATGCAGAACTGTCACAAGAAAGCATCAGGTCATTGTCTTTACAATTTAGAATATTTGGATCACACAGATATCAATAAATCGGCTTTGCATCACTTGAGCGAATCTCTTTTTTGGCAACGGTAGCAACGATTATCGTTGAATTGGTGGCCGACTGTTGTCGCGTCATTTATTGTATTCGCGTATTCATCGTCTATTTCATCGGTAATGTTCTGTACTCGCCGGCTAGTTCTCACCCTTGCGTAATATCCTACTGCGTCATTCTTATAATCGTTAATTTATTTCTTCGTTTATATTTCCACTTATTACTGCTACTTCTATTTTCGCGACAGATAAATTATTGGCATTCTCGCAAGAATAACCGCTATACGATCTGCGTGTTTTGTCTGTAGAAGCTTGCTATAATTTAAAGTTTAAACGAAGTTATTTTCCTTTCTAGACAGAGAACGCTGACAGCGCTTGCTGTACAATTACATTAGTAAAGAAAAACTAATTAGTCCTGCAGTTCCACAAGCTTGCCATTATTTAAATGTAGATAAAACTATTTTTCTTTTAGGAAATGCGTTGACATAATTATCAGAATAAATAATCGATTTTTTTATTTTTAAAATTGATCTTATATCGCCTGCGACAATTTTTAAAAAACAATATAAAAGTTGTTTACTTTGAATTAAAGTAGATTGTCGAATATATTACGCCACTTGGTACGAGATTCCGGCGCGCCTGCTATTCATTTAACGATAACTGCAACTAAAGCAATTTTTCTTTCTCCGGTCGATCGGCTGCGAGAGAAACAAGGGGCCTTCCTATCGGCAGGAAGTGTTCAGCGTGGCGTTTTATCGATCGATTCGCCATGTCGATCGGCAGGCAAGGCGCTAATGGGTTAGTCAGTCCAGACACAAACTTGCTTCGCCGCTCGAAGCATGCAACCGGCCGTAGAAAAGAGGATAGATCGCGTACGCGAAAAATGCTCATGCTCTACCTATACCTATCTGCGTGCCGTTACACATTGCATCTACGTACACGTGTTACACCACACGCGAGAAGTGCCGGTTATCTCGGCGGAGACACATAGTCGCGCCAAAGGATAATAAATAGAGATAGACGAAGATAGATACGAGTATACAGACGCGAGGAGTTTCAGTGTGTATCTTTTGCCCACGCGGAGATTATCTCAAGGAGTTATGAGTAACCGGGCTCCTAGTTTAAATAAAGCCGCACGCTGTCTAGTTTTATATCGACGCCAATTCTTGATTTTCATGCGCGTTTAAAACTTGTTTCATCGATTCTGTGTCACGCGGCACACTCTCTCTCTCTCTCTTTCTCTCCCTCCCTCCCTCCCTCCCTCCCTCTCTCGGCTATCTCTTGGGCCGACCAAAACTGTTGGAACGCTGCCGCACCGCCTGAACGATATTTCGAATTACAGCGAGCGATTAGTAAGAACGGATATTAGGCGGCGGCACGAAGCGTGCTCGTTTGTTTCGCAAGGTTTCATTCAGTCGCTCGATTGTTTCGAGCGCCGGCTCCGGTCTTTGGTTATGATTTATCGTGACGGTTACCGCGTGCTTACGTGACTCGCATGCTCACAATACGGCAATTAGACTCCGATTCTTTATTTAATAGAAACGATACAAATTATATGCGCTGGCTAAAGAAATTGGGTGTTTCGCGCTCGTGTCGTAATAGTCGTTTCGACCGACCTGGAAGGAGTCGGCATTTTTCAACATTCATCGGACAAAGTGCATCCGCGGTAGTTTCGACTTTCATCTCTCCTCGCATAAAATCACGACCAAGAAGAATGCCATTCACGCTCTTAATCCCCTTTTGCACAGAAAGCGACTTTTTTTCCTTTGAAATGCTCTTTAGTGCCGTAGGGCAATTAACGCGGAATTAGCCGTGTGTTCGCGCAGTCTTCTTGTTGCACGTTGTACATAAAGTCATTCGGTGCGGCTCTTACCGGAGACTCGGAACCGCGAACTATGTATATACCGTGAACTTCAGCAGAACGATGACGAGGCATAAGTATTGATGTAATAACTGTGTGTAATTACATCAATATTTTGCAAGTGAAATATTTAATAAGATGTAGAAATAAAAAATATTTTTAACTATATATATTTTAATTTTATTTAATTTTAGCTCCTTTAAATCGAAAATTGGAGATAATTGTATCAATTTCTGTGAGCTCATACAAAATGAATAAAAGCATTGATATTAAACTTAAATATTACCTTTGATAGCAATGCAAAGACTTCTCAAAGAGATATTCTTTTCAAACATGTTTAATTTTAATTAGAATTATATGTATGTATACATATGTTTGAATTGACCTGTACTAAAAATGAATATTTCTATTTTTGTTTCAGATGCAATGGGTAAGTGAATCTCTCTAGCCAAGTCAGCATCTTCTCCAAAATTGCCACCGTTACGTCAGATTCAATCGGCCTTAGTATCCAATAAGTATAAACACGCATCGTTAATCGCATCTTGCCCCTAAAATTTAATTCCAACCTTTCACGGCTACTACCGAATTTTTTAATTAACTGCCCATCCATGCTTGATTTACCGCCGCGCTTAATTTAAGCCGCTTGTAATACACGCCGTTCATAATCATATTTTTATAAGGATGGACAGTACAAAATTAATTTCTCCCGGACACGACGCGTTGGCACGAAATTAATTTCATGCGAATCGTCGAAGATTTGACGATAAGATAAAACGACTGTGTAGATGTTGTTTCTTTGTTTCTTTTTTTATATTTTATGTGATTGTTCATGTTTCTTAGCGTTTTATAAATAAGTAATAATCTCTCTCTCTCTCTCTCTCTCTGTCAGTCATTATTTTGTTCAGTTATGTAATATGCATTGATAAAACAGATATGGTTTCGTGGGAGATGGTCAACATAAAATATGTTCACCGCTGTTTGAATTAATAGATATAACTAGATTCATAATGAACCGGCGTGTTATCAGAACGCCCGCATCCTCGTGTCCATTTCCTGCGATAATGCGTATACTTATGCGTATTAAACGGATGCATCGGAGACACCGTTGCCTTCGCAAAACCGGCGAGATGAATAAGATAAGAAACTTTTACTTTTTCGATTATTGGCCGTTCTCGGTCGCTCTGAGGACTCTTTGGCACCTCGTTTTGTGATGCAGAAGTCTCCTTAGCTGCCATTGCACGATGCCGAACGGAGTCGTAATGGCACGTTTGTCAGATCGTTCGACAATTAGAATGCAAATCCGCGGTGCTCACATATGCATATGCACAAGCTGGTTCCGTATAGCCATTCACGGCTCGTGTGCGGCTCTATCCGTCGGATCTCGGGCCTGCCAAGACCTATTCGTTCCGAGCACTTTTCAAGTTGCGACCCGTCGATCGGGTCCCAACTTTATCACGTCTTTGGCCCCGAAATTCGACGCCTTTTATGGCCCGTTATTCCGCGAATTGACAAGAATAAAAACCCGAGGGCGACACGATAGCGCCAAGAATCCATTCGGATGACCGACCATGTGCTCGAACGGATATCATCTCGATGGTTCTCGTGGCACTGATTAAAATTAAATGCCACTTTCAAAAGTTTTACAAGTTCACTATACGCCACTCGGGGTGGCTTTTGTTTTCTTCCTTCTGCCCCCTTCTAGAGAATAAATGATGCGCTACACTGGCATCAAATATTGTCATAGTGGCTCTTTAAATATGCATGATAAATTTTTTAAATAGATCTGCATGCGTGATGATAAAAGTCTCACATTACTATAGCGAGTTGTTTCAGCTCGGTTTCGATTTTCTCGGCTATGATGACTTTTACAAAAGTACAAAACCGTAAGTGCCCGCGCGTATTCCAAGATAGAATTTCTTACGACCAGAAATACGACATTTAGGCGGTGTTAAAGTCGGGTTTACACCATCTCGGAATGGCTACGAGCCGGTTAACGTCGATCGCGGTTATGCGCTGGGATTTCCTTTACATACATATCGCGCCCGATTATTCGGAATTTACTTTTAACAACGGTTTTCTCAGACTTTTCCAAGCCAAGCTTCTCGTATCGTTTCAAATGTCTCGAATTCCCGAAGCTTTCTTCTCTTATCTAACGTTGAAAATAGATTTTTTTTTGCAGTTTGTACCGAGCGGTGGCATTTCCTTCCGTCTTTGTGAGCTCGTTGCATCGGTTTCACATTTTCGCGGCGTGTCTCTTCGAAGTCAGACGATTCCGTAACGTCGCACGGTCTGCGGTCGCCCGACAAATAGATTACGTGCTCGCGAAGGGTATTCTTCGTAGGGTAGCCAACCGCCCTTCTTCGCCCTTTTACACATGCCATTCACGTACTCACGTACTCACGACGCGTTCCGAGTACGTCGTATTCGCCAGACTTGTCGCTCCCGACGCGTTCTTCTCTATTCCGTCCTCTCTCTTCTCGGAGCGCCTCTCCAAAAATTGCAACGCGTTAGCACGAAATCCACTAACCATTCCATTATTAAATCTGTGTCCGCATTACATGGATATAGGGGCGTTGCGTCGCGTCGCGGCGTCACCGGCATTAAAATTCACATCACGCCGGAACCGTCAAAACGATGAGACACGAGCTTCTCGTCGATATGCCGGAACGGATTACACATAATGACTTTATCCGCATCGCGCAATTAAGCGTGACCGCACCGCTCATCGATGATGCATCCTTGATTAAGAAATTATTTTTTAATTTATTCATATGCATCTCGATCCCAGCATTGTTGCGCGCTATTTTTTGCGACGAATGTTGTGTCTTCAATTCTTTTTCAAACTACTCTGCACTCAAGTTTACGACAATTAGGATGTTTAAGAAAATATTATTTCATGCTTCCTTACGCGTCGTAAAATATTTGTCGATGAAGATTGTTAAAAAAATGTATTAAGTAAAACTTTAATTATTAAATAAAAACTCAAAGTGAATAATCGCGCCTCTCATAAGTGCACCGCGTAAATGCAACCGATTTGTATCGTCGCCCATTGCGGCGACTTTCGCACTGAATTTTACTTTTAAATGGCGGAGTGCGCTCACCCAAGATTTTAATTCGCGATGAGAGCGTCGGTCCCGCCACTGTCCGTTCTCGTGGCGTCGGTACATACAAACTCCAATTACGTTCTAGAGTCTAATTATTCCTCGAGGGACAATCTTGGTCGCCGACATCCACACGCTCGCTTCCCTCCATCGTCCTATTCGGCCCTCGTTAGCTATCTCGATTAGTTGAAGCGAATCGTTCATTTATCGGAATTTTGCTGAATAATTAATTTCTCCAAGGCCTTTATTATCAATCGAAAAATGGTAATTTAACCTTCACTGTTATGCCCTCGTGCGACCATATTTAGTCATCCGTTTTATTTTTTTAAATACTTTTACTATATTTTTAGCTTTCCTATCTCTTCTCTCCGTCACTAAAACAATATATATTTTTATAACTAGACGTTCAATAATTTGTATTTTTAATTCTAAAAATAATTCATTACTCGAAGCGTATCGACGTTTTTGGACCATAATAGTTGAGAAATTTATCAAACTTAATAAGAGAGTATAAATATTCCAATACTTGTACCTATAGTTACTGTACCTAAAGTTAATTATTGAATGACTCGTAAATTTTTCGAGATGTTAGTTTGCTGTGCTATAAATTGCGTGATCTCGATGTGTTCTTCTCGACTTCTTGTCGCGGAGAACAACCGCTGGCCATCAGCCACCAACCACCAACGGGATTCAGCGACGAAATGGGAGCCAGCGGCAATCGGCAACCGGCGCGGCGCGAGAGACACGCGATACCGAAAAACCAGAACGCTTTCGACGAGGAGGTGACTAAATCGACCGTAAAGTGCTATCACTCGCCGGCGAGGACTCGCGAGCAAGAAAGTTGAAAACAGAAGAAAAACGGGGGAACGTGGAAGCCGGATCGTGGATCGGATTCGTACGCGTTCCGCTGCTGATCGCACGGAAAAAACTTACGTCTGTGATCTCACCGCAAGAGAGACTCCGGAGTTGTTTATCTACTTATTATGTCAGTCCGTTGCTAATTGGGCATATTTGAAGATCGGAGCTTTGGCGGCCGCGGCATTTTCGCACGTATCTTATACGAGGGAGGAGATTGACCCTCTTCTTCATCCAACGCGCCATGTCTCGCGCTATCTACGAAGCCTCTTTTATTCGCGGTATTCGTGGGTTCACGATTACAAGGATATACAATATCCAACCGTGGCAGGTTCTGGCCGGTTCAACACAAGAACAGACGCATAACTTTTGGCGATCGCGACTGGCTTGCCATCCGTCTTTGAGGAACTATCGCGCCATCGGGCTTCTCGATGCGTGTATGCTCGTGATCTTACTTTCTTTTTCTTCTTTTCCCGCTCGCGATTCTCACAGGCCGGTCCAGGGCGTCTCTTCTTTCGTTGTTGCAGCGGCTGACAGCATCGGGCGCCGAGAGATGCATCGCTTCATTCCGCGCGGCCGGCCACTTAATCCACTTCCCGAGGACTGGCATTGCGCGCGATGACTTGTGCGAATTCGGACAAGCGCCCGCGTAATTCGTGATGGAAGATTATTTAACTTTTCATCTTATCTTGGTATAAAGCGGGAGATTCATTTTTTAGATTTTTGCAACAAAATGTGAGGAGTGAAGAAGAGATAAAAAAGAATAAAAATTTCATTATTATTCTTATATATATATATATGTATATATATATATATATATATATATATGTACGTACGTATGTAAAAAAAACTGTATATCTTCCAAAAATTCTCGGGATGGAAATGATTTTTATTACTCTAAAAGTTACAGTTCTTGTTTTAAAGATCTGTCATTTTGATTTTACCCTATGCGGCTCCTCGGATACATAATACCACGAATGCAGGGTATCTACATTTCTCGCAATCGTCTTATATCTTATAATTAAGCAGACGTCATAATTTAAGCGCGCGGTCGCGAAGAGAATGAGGCACGATCAAGACATCAACCTATCGGTAAACGATGAAAAGGAGAGAAAGGCGATCAGAACGAAATGGAATGGTGCAAGGGAAGCACGACGAAGAATAAGCATATTCAGCGAGAATAGTCGTTTATGCGGGAAGGTGGGAGAAAGTCTTATCCGACATTCTGAATAGGATGTGTGTATAGCCAGTCGCAAGGCAGTACAGTTTATTAATGTGATTTATGGGGAGGCGAATGCCCTCCCTGAGCCATGAGTCTTCGTGGTTCCACCATTCTCTTCCCGCCTACCTTTCCGGTGTACTCGTCGTGTATCGAATCGATCGAATTTTGTTTTATTTACCCGAAAGAAGAAAAGAGTGCACCGTTGTATGTTTATGTATTCGTGCATGCGTGCGTGCGTATGCTTCGCACAGG